GAGCTGCTTAGGAAAGTACTCACTGGATGAATCACAGCTCTGTCGCCCAAATAACAGTCTTGGGACCTTTCAGCTCTTTGCTTTTGACACCCTTTGTCTGTGTCTCCTATTTCCTGTACCCACAGCAGCTCATATGACAGTCAACATTCTAAGCTTGGGCGTGTGAGTCATGAGCAGCTCAGAAGTGTAAGTTACCTACCTACAAATGCTAAAAAAAAAAAAAAAAAAAGTATGCAAAATAGTATGAACATTGAGGTATGCATTAAGACCCATTAGGGGACGGAGGAGCAAATCCAGCTATGGGTCTCTTCCTGCTGCCTCACTGCAAAGCTCTCTGTGAGCTCAGCTTTGATCTGCTTGCGCCAGAGTACTCTGGTTCTCAAGACTCAATTACTTTGAAAGGCACCAAACCTAGCTTTGATGGTGTACATGGAAAATGGTAGGGAACTCGGGCTATTTGAGGAAAACTAAGTGAACAAAAATGAACCTACCCATTAGAGAAAACAAGCTCCAGCAGCTTTTCATGGCTGTGATGATAGGCGTGAACCAGACTGGAGCCCAGATGAGGGCTGTCACTGACCCTGCCTTCTGTCTGAAGTAAAGGTGGGAGACCCTGCTCGATATGTGATACGTGCTTCGGAAGGTGCTTTATTTTGCATCAATTCCTTCCCTCCGTTCTTTTTCGGGTTTGGACTCTTCAGTTAACTCTCAGAAGCACAGATCAACGAGGTGCACTTCCGTTTCAGTTTATCCAAGTCCAGATTTCAAACCCATACAGTTCTTCAGCTGACGTATAAACCCGTAAGAACCAGTAAAACATTCTGCTGGACACGGCTTCCAGCTGTCACAGAAAAGACAGACTCTTGACTGTGATCTTAACACCAGCATGAATTTCACTTTGGTTTCAAAACTGAAGTTCTTGAAAGCTGCCTCCTCAGAGCTTTACTTGCAGGACTCTGTGGGATTGGAAACTGAGGCAAACACTGGCCCCTGGGTCACATGGCATTGTTCTTCGGGGAAAGGCTAGAACACACCACAAGTGCTAACTCCAGGAAACCCCAGGGCTCTGCAGAACCCAGCTGTGCAAGTGCTATCCTGGGGCTTTGCAGCCCCATTGGCGCATCTGGACTTTCCCTGAGTTCTTTCCTACCTGTCTGCTCCCAGGAAACTTCATGGTCCTCCCAGGCTCTCTTTCCAGTCTACACATATCATGGAGGAAAGGGAAAAAACAAAAACAAAAACAAAAACTCAATGAAAAAGAATGCATTGAGATTGCCCGGAAGGTGAAATACAATACATAGACTTGCTGCCATTGCTGTAGTCGGGGTGTGAAGAGCGTGAGCAAGAAACAATGCAGAGGAATAAGAGCTTTGTTTTCTCCAGTCAAGGCGGAGATTTTGTCTTTTCTGGTGTTATACCTTCCAGAGGTTTGAGAGTCTGTCTTTTCTGCGACAGCTGGAAGCCCTGTCCAGAAGAATGTTTTTTTGGTTCTTACAGATTTATACGTCAGCTGAAGAACTGTATGGGTTTGAAAGCTGGACTTGAATAAAATGAAACGGAAGTGCACCGCGTCGATCATAAAATGGGTGGACTAACGCTGGAAAGTGTTTTTGCCCTATGGAAGGTCTCTCTGGAGGCTCGCTGCAGTTCCGGAAGGACAGGAGGGGCCTCCTCCCAGAGGGTCCCGTGGTGTAGATCTGGTGATTGTGAGCAGTAAGGAGAGTGAGGGAGTCAAGCTGGAAGATGTTAAATCCATTGTGGACTTAGCTAATTTAATGAGCGTCTACGGTATACTAAGCATAGGCTTACCCCAACTAAATGTATTAAACCTCATCAGGGTCACATTGTAAGCGTTAGTGTCATTACCCCCATTATGGATGGGAAGACTGAAGGAGGCAAGATTAAGTGATTTAGCTACGTAAACGAAGAAGTCAGTTACTGGAGGACCCATATGCAATTTCCATGTCATGAGCACTCCGGGGGAGTAAGGGTTATGCAGAGACGGGAGCTGCCAACCTTGAACAGGCCATCTTCTGCAGGAAGACTCCTGAAAACTAATGGGGTCTGAGGTGCACACAGGAGGGCACTACCCTCCTTACAGAGAGGCCCAGATGCACAGGCTGTCCAGTAGGTCCAGGTGAATGAGATGATCATACAGTGAGGGGCTGACTAAACTGTATGAGGACTATTCGAAGTCACAGTGTCATTACAACATGTTCCCTCTTCTGTTCCCTCCCCTCTCGTTTACCCTCCTTTACTCTCCCTCAAATTCATGGTCTCCTTTTCTTTCATTGTTGATAGATTTCTTTCCCTCCCCCTACATGTATAAATACAGCCTGCTCAGTCACTGTAATGTTTTGTGCATGTACATGACTGGAGGCTGACCACTGGTCTTGAGTAAGCAACTGGGCATCTCTTCACTAGGAAATGCTACATTTTCTCACTATTCCTTACTTGGCTATAGTTCTCTGTCTAGGGTTGCAGAGAACATACTGTGGTCTCAGACCCAACTGAGACATCTAAGCACAGTTGCTGTACCTAAGCCTCTGGGAAACATTGTGGAAGACGAGGCAAAAACATTGTAACATCCAGTGCACTCCTAGAAATACTGGCCCCTTTTTCAGCAGAGTTGAATACAATGGTATTGAGCTAATCTTTTCCCTCTTCATTTACTTCTCATGATAATCACATGTTCAAAGTTCTGTGCCAAGCACTTAGATTCTGAGACATCTGGGAGTTGGGTGTCACTGGACCCTCAGTCATCTGCAAGAAGGAGGTTATGCCTTGAACCTCAAAAATCAGTGGCAGGAAGGGGGGGTTGGCCAGAAGGGCCAAGAGCCTTGTTGTTGCTTCTAAACATACCTTGATGCATAGGGAAAGGCCCTGAGACTGTTGGGTGATGGTGTATTACAGAGATAATAAAGACTCCACTGCAAACAGGTGGATGTTTGATTTCCTATGATATCCTGAGCTGAAAACAAAGAAAATGACTGCGTGTGATAACACAGCTATTACTGAGCACAGTTTGGAGTATCAAAAGAGCCCAGTTTGGAAGGACTTGAAACCACAAACCAAAAATATTAGTCATCAATGTAAGAAGCATCTAAACACACAGCCCCTACTTTGTCAAGATGGAGATTGTTTTCCCTCTCCTAATCCGTCCAAGTGAGTTTTTAATGTGTACCTGGTGGCTATGATTTATGCAGAGAGTGAAACTGTTAGCTGTTTGATCCACCTAAAATCTTAATATAGTCCTTCATTGTTATTGCTGTTTGTATGTAGTCCTGCAGGACAGAGAGTAAGAGCTGCCATTTGGCCCTTGGCAGTCAGCTCTGTAAGGAAATGGGGCCTCAGAGTCCAATCTTTATACAAAACACCAGATCCTTATCGGGTTCAAGAAATTCAGGGATTCTGAGCCAAGGGGCTTTAACAAACCACTGGAACGAGTTGAGTTACTTTTGCTTTGCAATGATTTCCCTAAAAGGAGACATTCCTCTGTGGGGTAGGAAGTGTTTCCTTTGTTGTCCTTTGCTTTCTAATACTCTGGTGCTGAGTAAAGATACACGGAAGGAGATCTGGGGAAACTTATTCACAGTCTTGAAAGAGATGGCGGAGGTCAACTTTCGAAAGTACAGGTGATGCCATCTCCAGGACCCACATCCCCTCCGTCCCTCCCATCTCCCTGCCAACTCCACTGTTACTCATCTGTATCATTGGCGCTGCATGTTTAGTTTCCTTACCGTTCCCTTTGCACAATGTCTGTTCTTGAGAGATGCTGTGTACCCTAGAACAACCTCGAGGCTAGCTCTGTGGGTCCAAGAGTCGACCTGTTACACCCTTGAACATGAAACAAGAGCCGGTACAGTCACCACCCAAATATCCTTGCTTGAGTGCCAAATTTTAGACAGCCTTGGTTTTATCTGCTTTTCTGTTCCTCTCTGCCTGAATTCTGGCCACCTCATGTTATTAACCAATTGAAACCTTTCTAACTTTTTCAGCACTCCATGGGGAAATTCCATTCGAAAATTCTTTTCCCTGTCATTTGAAAGAAGGAAGATGGGAAATAGGCGTGCGCTCCACCCCCCCCGCCGCACTGTGTGGTGTGTGTGTGTGTGTGTGTGTGTGTGTGTCTGTCTGTCTGTCTGTCTGTCTGTCTGTCTGTCTGCGTGCTCTTCTTTCTTTTTCAAATGACGTAGGGAGTTTGGGCAAGCTCCCTACCCCCCACCTCTCCTCTTTGATGCTAACCCTGATTCCCACTCCTGTAGGATGAGTTTCGCTTTGAAGGCTTGGGTAACCTCAGAGAGTGGGAACAGCAGGGGCCCCCTAAGGGAGCCTCTCCAAGCCTACCCTAATCTCAAATGAGCCCCAGCTGCCCACCTCCCAGGGAGCCACCGAGGTCCCTTAAGGTAGGTTACATAGCCTAGTTCTGCTAAAGTGCAATAGCATTTGACAGAGCTTTCCATGAGTCCTTTGCTAAGCCCAGCTCTGCGTCGTCCCCCCCCCCCCGCTCTGCCCCGCCCGGGCTAGGGTCCTTGCAGGGACAAGTTACTGTGTTCTTGGGGGCATCTACACTGTAAACTCCCAAGCGTAGGTAGGGGCAGGGGAGTTGAGACTATATACCCTGTAGAGAAGAAGCCACAAGGGGGACGCAGGCGGGGGAAGAAGCAAAAGAAAAAAAAAGACAGAAAAGAGGAGAGCGGAGAGGAGAGGGGCCGGAAGGAACCTGGCTTCGGGATGCTGATGGGGGACTTCCTACGGGGGGCTGGCCTTTCTTTGGATCCTCTTGAGCTTGCTGCTCAGACAGGTAGTTAGGAGAAAAGGAAGCTGTCAGCTGAGGCAGAAGGTTCAGCACCTTGCCTTGCGCGATCGCGCCCCGACCTGGCTCAAGCGCGCGGTGCAGGTGTCGACTCCCCTGGTGCCCCTCCTGGGAAGGGGGACAAGTCGCTTCCGAAGGGACGGGCGGCGGACGAGGGAGGGGTTGGGAGGCTGGGGAAGGGGCGGGGGCGGGTGAGCCCCCGAGAGCCAAGCCGGGCTGGGTACCGACTGCCATCCTGCCGCAATTTCCCTGTGTCATGGCTCCGGTCTCTTAGCAACAGCCGCCAGTCCGGCCGCCCGGAGCAGCCGCCGCGGGCTCAACTCCACCCGGCGGAGCCCGGCGCGCCGCAGCCACACAAAAGAGGCGCAAGGCCGGGGAGCGCGCGGCCGCAGGGGCCGGCGGGGGACGCGACGGGAGGGGACAGTGTCATCCAAGGAGGCGCGCCCGAGGGAAGAAGAGCTCCGGGAGGCACGCGGGCTACGGAGGACCTGACACTTCTTGGAAACTCTTGGAAATGGCTCCCGCCACCGCGCCAGAGGGGACTTCGAGCCCCTGGCGCAGGTTCGTCCCTGCCGAGCTGTCCAGCCGCTCTTGCGCCCGGGGCCCCGGGGCGCTGTCCCTGCGCTCCGCCGTCGGCTCGGGCTGAAAAGTTTCTCCATGGTTCTTTGTGTTTCCCGAGCTGCCCCGGTCTCCCTGGGTAAGTGAGCGATTATTGTTTGCTTAGAGTGCCTCCATTTTGAGCAATCCTGTCAATCCCCGGCCTCCGACCGCCTTTCACCAGCCTGCCTGTCCCCGAGCCCAGGCCCCTTGGGGGATGTTCCCAGCAAGGTGTTCTCCTGGGCGTGCTACCAGGGCTGCGCTGCCCAGAAAAGGCGAATTGGGGATTGCCTTCACTTCGCTCCAGCCCGTCCTCCCTCCAGAGGCGGACTTGCAGCTGCTGCACCCATGTGACTAGACCAAAGCAAGGACGAGAGATGCATGGCCCTGGGGGGGGGGGGGGTGGCAGGGGCCGGGGGTCGAGGACCTAGGCTGGATGCGGGGCACAGTATGGCGCGCAACATGGGGCCCTGAGTCTCTGACGCCGGGCTCGATCCATCATGAGCTGAGAACTTGAATCTCTCTCTCTTGGAAGCGGTTGTATTTTTAGACATCCCTCATTTGATTTCCCCATCCCCCATTCCTTAACCAAGGCAGGACTCGCGCCAGGCAGCCAGCTGAGAAGGCAGACAATATCCACTGCTAAGTTTGTTTTCCTTCGTTAGGTCTAAGGGAAGCCTCAGAGGGGGCTTTCCCGCAGCACCTGACCTTTGTGGGTATTCTGTGCTGGATCGTGGATACGCTGAAAAGGAGTTCAGCTGTCAGGAGAGCTGCAAGCATAATAAACTAGGGAACTAATTACTAGCTATTAAAAACTAATTTTAAATACCTTCTGTAAACCATTGTTGAAATCCATTCCAACTTTCCTTATATTCTTATATTCTGCGGGATGTGAAGCTGGCTTGCAGAGGAGGAAGGTTGCTTCCTCCTCCAAGACATCCTCACGGGGTGGGGGGTGGGGGTACAGGGGCACCTGATTGGTGTCTAGCAAAACATCTGCCCATCTCTTTTCAGAGAGCCACCCTGCAGGCCAGGCCCGAGTTGGCTTTGTTTCTGAAATGCCTGGACCTTAAAGTCTCTTGAAGTCAATCCAGACCTCAACATTATTAAAGACAGTGGGGCCTTGCAGTTCAGTTAAAACAGCAATATCTATGTTGCAACCATATAATAAATATAATCATGGGGGCAGTCTGTCATATATATTCAGTGTTTATGCTTATTGACACAGGGCCTTTTAAGAAACAAATTTTAAAGGTTTATAGATATAGTCTCACTCACCATTGACTCCCCCCCCCAAAAAATAAACCAACTTAGCATTTCTCTATGGAATTCCAACCAAGTTTCAAAGACATACCGATTTGTAAGCAGCATAAAAACCTGATTGTCATTTGCTTGCCCACGTGGGAAAAAGATCATACCCAGATTGACACACTGAAAGAATCAAGAACCAGACCTATTCACCCAAGCACCAATTAAAAGCAAAATTCTACCCAAGTAACTTACATTTTCAAAGGATAATTTATTCTACTACATGGACTGTCTTGATGGAATCACATACTCAAAGGCCTGTGATGGCCATCTGTATCTTTAAGAGCCATACAATGCCCTCAATTTTAGCATCTCTATTACAGAAGAGGAGACAACCCATGTAACAGAGAATATACTCTCAGGACTCGCCTGGGAGAACAGGAATTTTAACGGCTGACAGATAACCACTAACAGGCACCAGCTCTTTTCCTATTTAGACTGTATAGACAACAACCCAAAGAGCTTCCCAGAACTAGGACACTATTGCTACCACAGCTCTTGCTCAGAATCACCTCCAGAGAGTAGAATGAAGAAAACAGCTTTTGTGTGTGTGTGGGGGGGGGGGGGGAAATACCTTCCTCTAAATCATCATTATGTAGACAGCTTTACCTAGGTAACTGCCTATTTATTTGAACACTGGGGTTCTGTAGAATGTTGTTGGTACATTAATGAAGGGCCAGGAAACTATTATGGAGGGATTCTCTGTTGTTGTTTCTTTAAGATTGTCCTTCTCCCACACAAGAGAAAGATATTTCTTACAGGATTCCAGGGGACTTCTCAGACTCCCTGATGAAATCTAGCACAGGATACCTTTATAGGGAACTCCTCCAGGGGAGGAGAGAAAGCCAGAAGGAAGAGGGTGGTTACATAACAGTTACCTAAAAGGAAATATTCCACACCAAGAAGCTGTCCAGATGTTGCAGAGTGTTGATGAGATGACCGGGAGGGGCCTCTGCTCGCCCATTGCCCTGGGATCAGAGTAGCTAAGTGACAACTTTAGGGAAAGATTTGCTGCTGAGTGCCGAAGTAGTATCTCTGAGATTTTTCTGGGTAATGAACAAGTAAGCCACGCTGCCAGAGCTTGGTGTCTCTCTCTCGTCCTGGGAAATGAATTCCTTTCTTTTTATACAGTACTAACTTTCAGAACTGTTTGGTGACTTTGGGCCCACATGGGCGAATTCCTGGCTCCAAGGCCTGACACTCCAGAGGCTCCTCCTTTGGGAAACTTTTCCATTGCAGTGAGAGGCAGGGTGAATAAAAAAAATAATAAAAGAGGCGCTGACCAAGAAAGACTTCAAGCAGTACTTTGACCCCCACATTCACTGTCTTTATAGGGATGGTAGGGAATCCACCACTGGCTGCTAGCCAGGAGGCTTTCGGATGAACAGTACCATCCCTAGGTCACTCTTGGAGCATGTGGGACCCCGGGGAGAGGTGAAAGCTTCCTCAAACTGTTTCAAGCCCGCTTTCCCTTCCCTAACACAGACCCATGTCTGGTCTGTGTGCCCACCACTGAGGTGGGTGGAGACACACCCGGAGTGGAGTTGAACCCAGGAGCAGGGATGGTCCTGGCGCGTGGGATGTTGCTGCAACCAAGCCCACACCCTCTGACTGTGTTCCTCTGCTTTGCCGCAGGAGGAGGTGACCAGGCAGCCAGAGGGCATTTGGCGCTCCCCACTACGCAAGCTTCGCCCCAGGCCTAGGGGCTAGCCCTGAACTCCCCCAGTCCAGTCCGCCATGATCGCCACCGGTGGCCTACTGAGGATATCCGCCCGCAAGCAGGATCCGCTCCGGCCCCCCAGCCAGGTCCCTAAGCGCAGGAGGAAAGCCAAGAAGAGGCGCAAAAACGACGTGGTGGTGGTGAAAGGCAAGCTAAAGCTGTGCTCCGTCTCGGGGCTCATTGCCCTTTGCGGGATCCTAGTGCTGTTGGTGGGCATAGCCATGGCCGTGGTGGGCTACTGGCCAAAGGCCAACGCAGCCAGCAGAGGGGGCAACAAGCAGCTACTGCCTGTGGCGGGTAGCCATCGCTTTGGGGCCGCTGGCAACAGCAGTAGTGGCCGCAAAAACCCGACCAAGAGCCACTCTGGGACCCCAGGGGGCTTTAACTCCAGTTCCGTGGGCGGGCCCAGGAGTTCGCCTCCTCCTAGATCTGCTGCCACATCTTCCTCCTCCTCCTCCTCCACATCGGTGGGCTTCTTCTTCCGAATCGTCTCAGGCTACTTGCACTCTGACAAGCTCAAGGTCTTTGGGCCCCTCATCATGGGCATTGGCATCTTCCTCTTCATTTGCGCCAACGCGGTGCTCCACGAGAACAGGGACAAGAAGACCAAGATCATCAACCTCCGGGACCTCTACTCCACTGTCATCGACGTGCACAGCCTCCGCGCCAAAGATCTGGCGGCGGCAGCTGCTGCAGCCACCGCAGCCGCCGCTTCCTCCTCCACCGCCGCCCCCGGCTCTGCGCCCCCCAGGGCAGCGCCGCTCAATGGTTTTCTCAGCTATGTGCAATCCCGGGGCCTGGAGCTGAAGCCTGGCAGCTGCACCGGCTCTGCAGACACCTTCGGGGCCACTGCAATGCTGGCCAGAGGCTCATGGCCCCACCCCTCCGGGCTGGCCGGAGGCGGCGGTGGGACTCTGGATACAGGGTCCCAGCCGGACCTGGCTTCATCTCCGCGCTGTCCGCGGGAGCCCCCGAGCCTGGCCGAGGCGGTGTACAGCATCTACCGCGAGCGCTCCAGCGGGGCTGGCCGGCGCCGGACCACAGTTGCCGCGGTGGCCGCGGCCACTGCCACTGTCACCGCGGCCGCCAGTGGCAGCAGCAGCCCGGCGCCCTGCAGCCCAACCGGGAGCTGGGGGCGCCAGAGCACCGCCAGTTCCCTCGTGGGCTCCTCGCTGAGCGCCTTCGCGCTGCTGCCTCTGCAAGGGGACCGGGACAGAGTCGGGGACTCGGAGGGAGCAAGTTGCAGCTGGCACAGGCCGCCCGGGGAACGCGGCTCCCGGGGTCTCCCGAGGGGAGAACTGGACCTGAGCCTGACGGACCTCCGGGGAACCGAGGGTGCGGCGCGCTGGGCGTCCAGGGAGCCGGAGGAGCCCGAGGGCGCGGCGACAGCAGGCACCGCCAGGGGGCAGGGCGGCCGCCTGCCCAGGACCGGCAGGTACGCGGCCTGGCGGCGCCGCAGCACCAGCGGGCTCCTGGACTACCGGGTGCAACCCTCGCCGGAGCCCCCGCCGTCCCCGCGGGCGGCGGACCTGGACTCCAGCCCTCCTCCGGGTGCAGCCGCCACGCCCTCGCTCCATCTGCCCCGCGAGGACTCGCCCCGGGTCCGTCGGGACTCCCACAGCTCTCAGTCGGATGAGCAGTCCAGCAGCAATAAGGGCTACACCCCCCTGAGGGAGGCCGACACCTCGGCGGAGTCGGTCGTGGACGTGGTGGTCAAGAAAGGGCTAGAGTGTGCGGACACCACCGATCCCGGTACGGAGCCTAGCTCCCCGGAGGGTCCCAGTCTTGAGACGACTAGTGAGGAGCAGCCTCTGTCTGTGCAGAGGCTGTTTACAAACAAGGAGAAACTCTTTCTGATTTCCAAGTCTCACACCCCAGAAGTAGAGGACCCGGAACTGGAAAACTCTTCCACCTAGGGAGAGGGGGGGGAGGGTAAGGAGAGACAGTCCCACTGGAACCCCTACATTAACCCCAACCCATTCCTGTGTGGACAGGTTTGAGGAAATCATTCAATATCCAAAGAGCTGCAGAATGTTATCCTTGAATTGCATCCACAGGATTCCTGTAGATAACTCAAGCAACTTTTTTTAAAGAAAAAAAAAGAAAAGAAAAAGAAAAAGTAGTCGTTTTTTTATGTCCGATGGTGATTGTACGTTCCATGAAAACCAAATGTATTAAAAGGTCACAATCTAGTTCATTAGATGGAATTCTCTTAATTTTCTTAGGCTAAAGATAATAATATATTTTTGACAGTAACTCTGCACTTTAACCCAGTTCTTTGCACCACGTGCTCTGCTGCTAATAGCTGCTTGTGAACGAATGGCAAGCATTTTATTTCCCCTCTCCTTGAAGAGCCTAGAAGAGTTCCCGTCAGCTCTCTTAGAACTGATCTTTCTAGGTGAAGTCAAAGCCTCAAGAATGGGCATTCCAGAGAGGGTTCCCTTGCCTTACCCTACTCTGCGCTGCGGCTGTCCAGATGACTCTATTTTTTAAAAGGATATTTGCATTTTGCTACCAGACTGGCAGACTGGAGGGCGCCAGCAACTAGACTGGACTGCTACGTCGCTAAGCTCACAAGACCACATACACCGTGCGTTACTATTATTACACCTGTATGAAAAGTAACGTTAGTATTTAAAGTCTTTTTTTTTTTAATAAAAAGTTACCAAACAGTTAAACATAACATTGCCTCGGTTTACCTGGGAACAAATGATTCTAGAGCACAGCAAACATGTAACAATTTCTCTGGTGAATCCCAAATATTCATAGGTTAAGACTGCCTTCTTCCAAAGTGACAGAGGGTCAGTACAAGCGTGAGAGCAGTAATCCATTTCCAGTGTGTTTTTAACATGAAGACACGGGGTAGTTATTGCGTGTCTCTTTTAAGTAGGATGCAACCTTGGATAAGTACTATTTTCCTATAATACTTGTAGTTAACCCCAAGGTTCATTTGCAAGGGTGCCCGGCTTAGTAAATCCTTCCACACCCACTCCCGTTTCTCTATTTGATCTCCAATTTGGGTGATGTAAGCCACATAGCAGTGTTACCATACTTCCAGAATAGTTTACATTTCATCCTTCAGTCGATTGTCATGACCAAAAGACAATGTAGAGTTCTAATCCCTCTTCCTCTGAGCATGGCTCTCGGCGTGGAAGATAGAAACACTGCTTTTGAAGAAAAGCTGGTGACAGGTATGCCTGTATTGCCCCTCATGAGTGACCAGGCATGCTGCAGGAGATGTGTGGATTCAGGGCAGAGGAAGGTCATGGCATTTGCTAGCTGTGAAGCTCTTAGCACTGTAGAAACAGACCCCCTGCCAGCAGATCTGTAAAGTGAGGTTGAAAGACCCACAGGGCTCTTGCTTACTGGGAACAAGTGCAGGGTAGGGAGGAGGAGCAGGGGTTGGACCTGCAGAGTCCAGTAGGGTTCCAGGAGATAGACTTGGTTTAACAGAGGGGCTACTGTCCCATTATTACCATTGTGATGTATCTTCTGCCAGCTGCAGCTGATCAGGCTTCACCCCAGGCTGCAGCAATCTGGAGTAGTTATTCATTATCTACAGAACCACAGGCAAATCCCTTAATCCCCCAGGGCCTCTGGTGAATGATGTAATCTCTGTGATCCCCTTCAGCTCTAAAAGCTTAACTTAAATTCAGAGTATTGGATTCGGGCCGGATAAAATCTTCTATTTGTATATACAACTTAGCAAAGAGTGATACATTCCATAAACTTCCATTAGTCTAACTTTCTGTAATAATTTTTAAGTGAACCTAGCATCCCCCACGACTATATGTATTAAGCTGATAACTTGCTTTGAATCTCTGGATTAACTTACTGAACTTTTCTACAAAGCAAAAGTGAGTTTCTAACCCAGCAAGAGACAAACAGATGCAACCAGAGCTCTGGTAACATTGTATTTTTCCTGTCTGCCTTGCAGAGGTTGTTCCTGAAGAATTAAAACCCGCCCTGATATTCTTCAGTGCCGTTTACAGTCCTCAAATGAAACATGAAGGCATTTAACAAATTATGAAGTTACTCTCTCCTAGCCTAACAAAAGAGAGATGGATAGAATCAATTTTTGCCTTTGCAAACCAGGAAATTCAGCCCAAACAATTGACTTCAGTTACTGGTATTTGTGGCTTATTGATATTGATCCAGTCTCTGTTGACCAATGTCAAGGGGATGGAGTACTGAAGAAATGATTTAATCTACAAATAAAGTTCTTATAACAGGCTTGGACTGTAGATAGACAGTGCTGTAAAAGTATCATTAGTGTTATTTGGAAGAGCACCAACTGCTAAGTAGACTTATTTCATAGGGGCTCCTTTTTTTTTATTCACAGTAATTTTAGGTTTAGAAAATCCAATGTGTAAAGCAGGAGGTCACAGTGGCACTAAGTGTGACCTCCGGGACTTATATAACACTGCCTTGGTTTCTGAGTCTGTTGAATAGCAATAATAATAGCATTTGACTCATAGGATTAATTATTCAAGTAAGGGCTAAATAACTAATATGCTTAAAGGACTTAGAACAATCTTGGCACACAAAAATTTCACTAAATGTTAAGCACCATTACATAAGCAAAATTCAGAAAAGTAATTAGTAGCCTAAAATTACCAGCCAGTTGTTAGGGACAATGACAGATTTATTGTATAGAAAAGTCTTAATAATGTAGATATATCAGAAAAAAATAGATCTTCAGAAGGGAAAGCCTTGAGAAAGAATGTGGTCTTGTGGCACAGAACCATGATGTTACGTAACATCGGGTGAGTGCCCAAAACCCATCACTGTGTTTGGCTACCATTTGTTCCCTTTTTATTTACTGAAGCTGGGCACAACCGAAAGGCCAGCGAGCTCCTGAGGTAGCGGCACTGTCTGTCAGAAAGACCCAAGGTCAAGATCAAGTGCTCACTCTACACAAACATGCTCTCTGTCAGTTTCCAGGCAGTGTGGGTTTCTCAAAAGGATGGATTTTTTTTTTAATCTTTTGAGCTGAAGGAGTTAAAGCAAAACCCTTCTTACTATGTCAACACAAAGTATATGAACTTGTACTTTAATTATACAGTATTTCGCCAAGGCACAAAATTTACTTCCCTCTAATTTATAAATAAAATCTTGTGTTGATGGTTATAGCCTAAGTTGGATATTTTCCTCATTCATAACAAATAAAATGTAAGAGTAATAGTCACTGGCTTTGTTTTGTATAGAAGGGGATATTTTTATTATGTTTTTGGAGGTACTAAAATCAAGAATTAAAAATTTGAGGTTATGCTAACTTCTTGAATGACTCTAGCTCTGAATGCATTCTGAAGCTCCTCCTTTTCAAAGGACTCCTCTCTGAGGGTTTTTGTTTTTTTAATGTTCAAAATAAGATGAATTTTTAAAAATGGATATAGATAGTATTACTTTTTAATTAAGTCTCCACAAATTGGACAACCCAAATTCAGTTGAACAGCTTCCTGATACTCTCCAAAGGCCAAAAACCAGACAAAACTCATATATTTATGAGTGCTGCCTGGCCATCATGGGGTCAGAAAATCACAGGGCTAGTATTGAGTTCAGCCAGGGCTGAAGCATTCCAGGAGTTACCAAGGCCTACCACCCTGGTGATCTAGCACCAGGCTTGGACCATCTCAGGAATTATTTCTGTCTTGGTGATCTTGTTTTGTCCGCAGAGCCAGAGGACTTTTGAAGCCTCCGCCTTCTGATAATACATTGTTATTCAACACTGAGTGTGTGTGCACTAATGCCAGCTGTGCTCGGGCTGTTTGTGGTAATTGGGTCATTGACAGATTCAATGCTCAGATAATGCATTGCCTTATCAGTGGGGTGTGCTACTTTGTGAGCATCACAAAGCCTGTGCCTGCCTATAGCTATGCTTCCCATCCCCAAGTGTGAGTCCTAGTGAGATCAGGACTCATTACCAGTAACAAGGGAAGCAGCCAGTTGCCAGGTGCAGGTGTGGAGCAGGAAGAGGGCCCTGGTAAAAGACAGGAGAGTTGAAGTTAGGCGAGCACCTCCAGAAATGACTCCATCTCAGAAAAGATGGCTTGGCTACTCCGCTTTGTGGATGTGTTTGGGCTGGACTCAGAGACACATCTCAGAAAAAAAAAAACGGAGGAGCAGCCCTGTTCCTTAGAAGACGCCTTTCAGGAAATATTTAACTGGATGTGTGTGTTTGTTTCTCATTGTTTAAGAAGTTCAATATAACATGTTACTGACATCAACCCATTTGATACTAGTAACTACTAAAAGTCTGATAATGCCCAGTAGTAGAAAAGAAGCTGTTGTTTTGAGGTTGGCAAACTTGAGCATCTACCTTTTAACTAACTCAGCCTTCAGTGTAAGAACCCCACCCCACCCCCAAGTTATTGTGTATTGTCCATTCTGTCAGTGAAAGTGATCACTGACCTCCTTTGTCTTACTTCCAAGCTTGTACCTTTCTTTGCTTTGTGAGTACAAGTGTCTGCATTGCAGTTTGTAGAGATACAATCTTACCCGAAAGGCAAATAACCTGTCAGAACAGCCAGAGCTGCAGTCCTTAGAGTTTCCAGACCAGCTTAAATTTATCCGGAATTGCTTTGTGGCAGCTTGGCAGTCACTATGCTGTGTGCAGAGGGTAGCTCTGAATAAAACACCAGGTCCCACCACAGGAGCTTACAGGCTTGTTTATGAGGCAGGCACACAACCGGCGATTTCAATATAATGTAAGCAAATCTTACAAGGTAGTTTTGTGGGCTTCTAGTCAGGTCCTGATCCATGAAGAAAGGTTACATAGCTACAAAAATGTGGGGAAGAAAGTGTCAACGGGGGGAAACAGTATAGGAAATGGCAGGAGGCAAAGAACTCTCTACTATACTAGATTATTATAAGGTCCATTAAGAGTTATCTTTTCCTCAGTTTCTCTAAAAAAAAA